TCACGTAAGTAGCTTAAAAGTTTCGCTACCAGTTCTTGAGGAGTGGGAGGGGGCTACGATTACAAAGTGTTTCGCTTAGCGTTCTGACTAGCTTCGTGTAAAGCAGGATGGCGTTCAAAAACATGTCTTCTGCAAATGCACCGAGTGGTACGAAACTAACGCTAACCATGCCTGAATTGGTCAGATGGAGCGTATGTAATTATTACTTCATGCGCTGGACAAAGATTTTGTGAACACGAAAAATTTCAACACCTTGCCGGAAACCAATTTGCCCGACTAACACGTTTGCTTCGTCCCTTTTTTTAGTTCTACTAATGGGTTCACATTTAGGCAGCAAGTGAAATTACATCTGGCTCCTGGACGCATTTTCAATGACGACGGCTGAATTTTTGTACCCACGAATTGCTTTCTTCCATAAGATATATTTGTAAGTGCTGAGCATTCGGTAAGAAAAGGATGACTAGCGGATGAGCTTGAAAAATTCGCTTTTTCTACGAAGTCGAACTTATCAACTCAAAGAACGTGCACCAAAGAAATTCTAGAATTTTCTTGAAGGAAAGGGCAGTACTCGAGCGACTGGACAACAGTAGAGGAAAATAAAAAATAAAACCATTCTAAAAGAGGTAATGCATGCAACCTAGCAACTAAAATCAATATCTCTCTGAGCATCAAGCTTTGCAAGTGGTGGAGCAGAAAAAAAAAATAGAAGTCATGGGTTGGACATCAAGGCACCGAGAAGAAAGTTGTGAAGACTCTAGCAATGGTAAAATCTTACAAATGAGTATATATGAGCTAGAATCATGAAATGAATGAAGAATTATACGAGGTTATTCCAAGGCTAAGACAGACAATCGTAGGGAAGGCAACGAACGCGGCAGCAGAGTGGAATCGAAGAAAAGTCATGGCGCGTTGCTTTGTGCGCGAACAAAAACTTATTAAACGCACTTGCAATAGACTCGTCTTTCACAGCTGACCTCTTTTCAATGGCACATTCGATCAGTCCTTGATATGTACAATGAACTAGCAATAGATGTTGACGGCTACTGAGACCAAAAACAGCCTTGAAGAATAAGAAAAAAAGAAAAGAAACCAGATGCACACTACTGCCCAATTCAATTTCTTCAATTGGTACTCAGCTATTTCCTAGCAAGGCTAGTTCCGACAAGTGCGATTTATCCCTCTTTGCAATATTCGCGTTACTCCCCTTGACTAGATGCAGTGCGTTCGGCTGTTGAGGTGTAGCTATACCTATCATGTGATCTGGATCCAGATCGGACCCGGATCACATGACAGTAATGGCGATCCCAGGATCACCGTCCGGATGAGGGGCAAAAAATTTTATGAATAAAGGTGCATGGCTTTAGCCACACACTCCGAATAAATTCTTGAGGTGCTTCTCAAAATAAAACTTTTTGACGAGGCTAATTTGTAATTTTAAGATTTTCTAGAAATTATTGGGTGGGGGCGCTGACCTGAGTTTTGAAACTGTGGTGAATTGTTCTTACTCGTTAATAATTGAGAAAATTTTTCATATTTAATCAAAAGACCCAGCTGTACGAAAATCATCGGTATTTGACTTGATAAATTTTGATGATGACTGGAGATGCATTTAGTTTGAACTGCATATTGAACTGCATATGCTTAAGATAAGGTAAAGATTTCTCACCTAGTTCAAAAAAAATGTTTTTAAAACAGCCAAAACTGCTGCAACTGTAGAAAAATTTATGATATTCAGAAATATACTCTAGCTTGTCTAATTAGTTAAATAACTTGTACTTAGCATAATTCATTCACAAAAATCGCGACACTGGCGTCGGTTGCGTGCCTCTTGCGTCGCGTACGCGAATTCCCCCGCGCCACCTTCGCGGTTTCGACTTCACGCAGTGCTTTCTCGCTCGCATACATATGCTAGCATTTTGACAGTTATGATGAGTCTAAAAAACAGAATTCATAGCGCTTTAAGCCGCAAAAGGGCTCCCCCCCCCCACCTTCTCTAAATTCTAGGGTTATATGCGCGTTAAAGTTTTGAAGAGCTCCCAACAGTCTTTCTGGAGAACGTACTATCGCCATACCTTCCAAAAATCTCTGCCGCGTCCTTACCGCCACCCCGAATGGAATTTCTCGGCCCCCATGGTAAATAAGTAATAGTTTGATATTCGTGTTGCTAACCGGTGCTCTCTCTCTCTCTCACAAAAAAATGGGTTGTGAATTGAGATAGGAAACGAAGCACATGAGACGAAGCCGCGCCGAAAAATGATTGTTAGTGTGACATGAACAACTGTGAGAGACATGTCACAAATAAATCATAACAGTAGGAGCTTGCTATACCATCGCCTATTCGAAAAGCACCACCCAAATCTTCGTCTTCACGGTTTCTGTCATTCTGGAGCCCTTCCGTGACCTTAATTACAAATATTGAAGTGCAAAATGTGCAAGACCCCAAAAACTCGACTCCTAAAAGTTCTATCCTGAAGGCATGGACGACTTCAGTTCGGATGGGCGGAGCTTGGTGAAGCAGGCGTGGCTTTCGCGGGTTCCAGGTTGAAATTTCTTGCATTCAGAGACCACTCCAGAGAACCGTACCAACGCAGAAGTCCTGCTCCCTCATCTCTTTTGGACTAGGTCGGGTGAGCATAAATTTTGCCTGGACGGTGCCTTCAGTAGTTTGGCACAGCTGAGCTAACTGCAGTTACGCCCCAATCGTAAAAACTTCAGCTACAACTTCGTTAAATTCAGGAAGCATTCTAAAAAAAAATCCTAAATTCCAGGAAATTATTTTTGTGGCCGCCCACCTCACCCACCCACCACTTAGCCCCATTTAGAAAGCCCTAGTCCTCAGGAAGAACCCACGATCAACGCGTCACCTGGCCCTTCGTAAATTTATTAGGATCTACTTGATGATATTTTTATCGAGGCAGAATTTTAATACCCACAAACATTACTAACTTCACTAGTACATCCTCAGCATATGTGGGACGCTACCGCCTCATGCAGCCGACAACCCGCTTAGTCGTCGTACAGCCTTTGGGATCGAGTGCTAACCAGACTGTTTAGCATGAAAAATGTCATAATGGTTCTTCGAGCATCAAAATATATGTATATCAAACAAAGCAACAAATGGGGCTAAATGTATCGTAAACTCTTCAAACTGAAATCAACAGGTAAACATTGAGAAATCGCGACTACATCGACTAAAACTCGTAGAAAAAATGGAGGATTACTATATTATTTCCATAAGTGGATTAAAACTGCAATTGCCTTCTTATGGTACCATTACAATATACAATAAGTACCGGCACAAAAAAAGGACACAAATGTCATGTTCTACGGGGATGAAAGCTAGCCTGTATGTTTTACCTGAAGATCACACACACACAAAAATATGACAGCAAGATACACTTAACCTCAGCACAGCGGCTATACAGGAAGTTCAAAGTGTGAATAACAATTATATCGATCGGCATAATGCAACCTTGTTCAGCCGATTAAGAAATACTCGGGGGATACAATAGAACGTTAAGTAGAAGGTGGGACTTTTTAAGAATACCGTACGCTCACCGATTTTTTTTTCACTTGCACAGTAAGCGAAACAGAGGCAATCACATTAATATGTCCTAAAACTTCTCTCACAGCTACTACACTAGTACTACTAAAAGTGAGGCACAATTAGGAGGAGATGACTACATAAAACTAGGAAGTATAGTAGTAATAGTAAGACGGTTGGAGAAGAGATAAAGATCAGCTGCGCCCGCCTAACGACAGCGCAAGTACGCGAGAGCGCGCACGCAGAGATGAGGGTCAGCGCGGCTGAGGGAAGTCGCACCGAACGTCGCCGACGCGTCGAGAATGAGATTATTGAAGGCACAAAAACGTAGCGCAGTTGAAAGAGGACACCAGACGCGGCATCGCTGCGAAAGACTACGCGCATCGTTGCCCAGATGGCCACTAGGGACCCGATAACAGGTGATCGGCAAGAGGTGAGAGGGACGAGAACATCGTTCTCGGCTCAACACAGAGACCCTCCCCCCCCCCCCCCCCCCACTACCGCAATATTGTTGTCTGCAGATTAACAATGACCGCGAAGATGCGCCCTCTCGCCTTGCGAGACGCGACCACAGTCACAATAAGTAACGTCATGATGGATGCGAGATGCGAGGTAGTGGGGGCAGTATGTCACCTGCAGAGGAGTGCGGTCACAAATAACGTCGGGAAGTGTTTTAAGCGAATGGAAAACGAGATTTCGTAGAAAAGGGCGGATATAAAGTCGCAATAGACTTTGCTACATTTAGGCCGATATTGAATTAAGGCAATTAGACTCAATGCTTCGTACCATCTAGACACAAAAAAATCATATTTGAAACTCAGTGGCCGTTCGAATATAAGTTCTCATTCATAACATTCTCCTTCTCAACGAATATAAGTTCTCATTCATTTTTGATGAAATCTGTAAATTTACGTGTTTCTGACTAAGCCAGAGTAATAGCAAAACAACCAAAACTTTGACAATCAATCACTTGCACCTGGATCTTTTTAGCAAAATTCTAAATCATCTTTAACGATATCCGAAGCTTAACACTGGTCATCACATCAGGTCTGTGATATGAAAATTCATTGAAACAAACCGGTGATTAAGCTTTAGACAATGTGAGAAACTTTTTGCCAAAATGATTTTAGAATTTTGCTGGAAAAATCCAGCGCGAGCGTTGATTGTTAAAATTTTACTAGTTTCGTTGTAACTATGGCGATAATTTTGAAAAAAAATGTCAACTCATTGTCAAAAAATGTAACTCATGCCAAACACCTGAGGTGAATTACAACCACCCCCCACCCCACCAATCATTCGCATATTACACAGATAACAATCGCTAGGCACGCGTAGCTGAATCAAGGATCAATTCTCTGGACAAGAAAAAAAGTGGAGCATAGCCAACAAAAAAGAAAATAAATCAGATGAAAACAGACCTGAACATTGTGATTAGATCCATACACATATACTTTCTCTATGGTGAGCGATTTGGAAGTATACAACTGAGCAAACTACGATTTTTTCGAGGTGGCCGAGGCCTTGTCGGCGAAAGTGAGGCAGCGGCGGCGGCAGCCGGCTCTGTTGGTGACGGAACACTCAGCGGATTATTGTGCTGCCGATTCTCACCGCTGATACATGGTTCGGAGCCCGCTCGACCATTTCCGGGCGGTAGTATTAACGATGAGCTTTGAGCATGTGATACACCACTGCTGTGATGTTGGCGACTGACAAGCGTCTCTGAAACAAATCCATCAGAAGACAAATTATGACAAAATATAATGTGAACAATTGGGTAAGAACAGAAAATCAAACTTTGAGTAAAATTGTCAAGTCTAAAAAAAATCAAAAGCTACCACCTTCAATAATTTAGAAGTGTTTGAAAAATTTCACAAGCATGAAAAGCGAAGTTTTGATTAAAAAAGTAACTGCAATTGATTACGAAAACAATCTGACAGCGCCACTTTCTCTACGAGAGAAACATCTTTGAAGGTCGAATTTCGCACCTTCGAGAAAAAATAACACAGAGTGTAACCTATCTTACTAAAAAAAAAGTATATTCAAAAAATTCACTCTAGCCAAGAGAATGTAAGAGAACCATGAAAAAAAAAGGCCTTTCCTGAAACTAGCGAAGATCCGTGGATCATTGAAAAAATGTTCAAGTTTTTGCGAAAAGTGCGCACAAGAAGAGTTAAACTTCTTCTTTCTCAATCCCTATATGTCAAGGAAAGAACTGCGGGCAGTGGATATAGTGGGTTCAGAAAAAGTTTTTTTGTGGAGTTCACTTCCCCCTCTTCTCTCCACCAAGCAGACAATTTGAAAGTTATCGGATTTTAACTGTGCTCGATTTTGTAGCATATCATGTATCATCAATGCAGTCAAATTTCTTTTGCGATCGAACATTTATATCATTAATGCATATACAAACCTATAAGTGACTAAATAGCCCACAGCAAAACTAGTTTGCCACAATGTTAGTGCAAGCAATTCACAGAATGGGTGAGGAATTATAACAAAACGAATAGTGTGTAAACAAAACCTTCAACGATCAGATTCCATTGGAAAAAGGGTAGATTGGGCATATCTGTGAAACAACTAGTAGCATAACCAAGTACTTCTTTCGTTTGAACTAATTCATGCACGACTAGATGGTGACTTGGGATATCCAAAACAAATTTTTCTTACTGCATATGACTTGGCTCATTACTGACTCAATGTGTCAGTGTAGGTGAGAGGAACTGAAAAACCTTCTTTTCACCTTGATTTCACATTTCAACCACAGTCAAGATTAGCGTCTTACTATAAATCTTAAAAATGGCTTGTATACGCAGTCGCATGGGTCGCGACCAACTACAAAATTGCCATTGATATGCGCCTTCAAACCAAAAACGAAAATTATCCCACGAATTTATCACCGTAAATCAAAAAAGACAAAAAAGTGACCGCCGTCCATGCTATCACCAACATAATTTCATCCCTCAAACATGTGAACTGTATTAATCTTAGAAAACATATGTCTGCTCATGCGACTGGAAGAAATATACATACCGTCAAGGTCATTCATCGTCACTATTCGATCTGACGGAACACCTCCGAATCGTTCTTCAAGCGCCTGATAGACAGTCAAGGGACGCTGAACAGATCCACGCTTTGCCAGCTGAGCTGCACGGAAGAACTGCAAACAGAAAGATCGCATATCGATAGTCACGACTTCATTTTCTAAAACTTACTTTTGCTCGCGGCCTTGCATGCCATGCGTTATGTTTTACACATTCAACAGTAAATCGTTTCTTTGCATCTTTTTGGAGCAGCCCTTTCAGTAACCTAAAACTCTCGGATTTGACATGTGCTGTGCCCCTCGAAAGAAACTGCTTTGGGTATCTCAACGGTACCGGTGCAAAGATTTGGAAACCTGCGACGACTATATATCATTTTTGCAAGCCTATTTATCAATGATTTTCAATCGAAAAAGGAAAAAATTTAAATATCAAATCACACAATGCCATAATTTCAATAAAGCAAGCAAAAAAGCGGAAAATCACATAAGCGCCCGAAACAGGAACACTTACACCACCAATTCCGGATGCAATTCCACATTCGTTGGCATGACTAATTCAGCATGTGCAATATTATCGAAGAGCCGCATAATCACCTGGAACAAGAATGATCAGACCCTCACGACTTTCCGTAAAATATCACCCACCGCTCCCTCAAAAGGGTAGAGACCTGAGATCATATTATACAGTGTTACACCGCACGACCACAAATCTGACGCGAACCCACTAAAACCACTTTGAGTGTTAGAAGGAGAGGAAGCCAATGTAATGTACCTATAACTCTCCATGTTCCCGGAAACAAGCTCTGGCGCTTGGAATTTTGGGGTACCTTGGACAAGTTGGCACGAATCGTCTTTCTGAAAGAGTCGTTATTTCAAGATAAACAGCAAGAAAAACCCGCAAATGATTCCATTATGATAAGTTGTAAATAATAGATATAACATGTGACTACCTGGTATGACAAAAGAATATCAAATAGCATACCTTCCATAAGCAAATGCAAATAAAATAATCAAAGTTTCAGACGAATATGAAAAAAAAATCTAACGAAGCAAAAAATAAAGTGGTGAAGGTAACTTGAATTACAAGACAAAACAGAGAACATATGCATAATAGGGATGAAATATGAACTCACCTGAAAGAGTGACAACTCCTCAGCAACTCCAAAATCCGAGATTTTCAATGTGTAGTCCAAAGATATGAGAAGATTAGCGGGTTTTATATCTTTGTGAACGATTCCGACAGAATGGAGGTACTCCAAACTAAATGAGTTTATGCTGAACAACAAAACCTACCATAAGTTCATTGCACTCACCCATTGATCAAGTCTACGAAATACCTATGAGTCTCTGTGTCAGACAAGCGATTTTCGTGCGCTGCGTCAAGAAGCTGTTGTACAGAACCCATACAGAATTCTAGTACAACATATAGCTTGTTCTTTTGTTCCCGTCGAAACACCTAAAACATGCTTTCTTGCCTAAGCGCAAATAAACTGATAGAAAGAGTAAACGTGATAGCTAAAGCACGATGTAAACATCAACCAGAATTCACCTCTATCAATCGAATCACATTTTCGTGCCTAACTTTCTTCAAAATTCGCAATTCACGTTCTACATTTTCTTGTCCGTTCTGAATCTTTCGCAAACGGCTGTGTTTGATTATTTTGACTGCACGACGAACCAAAGTTGTTTCATCAACAATTTCCTTGAATGACGATGTGAAACGTGGATAGAAACGCAACAAATCTATATTTGAAAACTCAATACTATATCAAAGCGATACTATATATAACACGAACCATATAGGAAACACCGACATACCTTAACTTTGGCATATGATCCCTCCCCAATTTTTGCTCCAAAGAGGTAGCCATTATGAGATTTTGGGCCCTTTTCAGAGAACACTTCTTCAACGAACTGAAAAAGGCGTTGATGAAGCTGATGTGAACGAAAAAAGGGTTTGAAGCCAACGTCAAAAAATTGAAAAGACAGTCAATAAAAAACGGGACGTAAACAAAAGAAGTTAAAGACCTGGGAGCGATAACATACCGATCCCTCATTGAGAGGTTGAAAAAGCAATCCTTGTCCAGCTATGATCGATTGCACCCGCTCAGCGGATAAGCCAACTTCATCGTCAAACTCAGAAAACTAAAATATATTACCAAATGACAAATGGGATGAAATACGCTACGTGTTAAGCATAAGAAAACATGTTCAAAAAAGTTTCACATACGAAAATGTCACAATAGCAATAAATTTGAACAAAGAACGTTGGAAAACACAAAGACCAGTGACGATTTTGATAAGGAGAGCAACGCTCACCCCCTCTGATTCCGGCCCATGAAGATGCCACATATGCATGCTTTGTCTAAGATCATCAATATCATCTTCCTCAGGCGAGTCTTCTCCGCCAACCGAAAGCTTCTGCAAATTTTCTGAGGTAGTCTCACCACAGCAATGAAAAATGATGCTCATGAAAATCAATGAGACATAGGTTAAAGTAAAAGAACAATTTAGAGCAAAGAATGCGAAACAAAAAGAAGTCGAACAAAACGAGACTAACCAACTGGTTCGATGATCCTTCCGCTCTCGGCTGTAGCCTTTCAGATGATACTTCACTTTCAACATCTGCAAATCGCGGTGATGCCAAAACATTAACGTGTGAGTCCCGTTCGATTACTTCGTCAGCTATTTGCAGCTGAAAAAAAAAAGATTTTGCCAAAAACGACAGAAATGTTAGCACATGCAAATAATGATGCTAGTGTTGATGAAGCAAAATAACTGAGTCTATATAATCTCAGGTGCAGCATCTAGTGCTGGCTAATCTTATTTAGCCCAAATAACGCTTATGATAAATGCAAGTACGCAAAACATGCAGTGATACAAACAATTGTCGGAATCAATTGGGCTTGAATTGTGTTTTAGCATATCTTGTTCAAAGACCTGTCTACTGCGCCGAAAAAAGCCCAAAAGCGCCAGAAGGAGCCGGAACGCCGAAAGGGACTCTCGGTAGAATTCTTACATTATTTTGACGTGCGGACGACAAAAAATGAAGCAGAAGACTCGGCTGTGGAATCAACGGCCCATTGCCAAAACTTGCGCGCGGGAAGGGGGGGGGGGTCCGGCTCTTCCTAGCGCTTTTGGGCTTTTTTGAGTTTTTTTGTGCTTTTTTCAGCGAAGTTTGACGGGCCCCGCACAATCAATGTCAAGAATTTCTAACACTTTCGACAGAAGATGCGCAAGAGATTAGTAAACGCAAAAGCACAAACTTTTTTCTTTTCGCAAAAAAGGAAACAGGTGAACAAAAACCTTGAAAGCGAGAGTTCGATTACAGTGCAGTTCCGGCAAGGATATTCTACCACAAATCTTGCGAAATACGGCAGCGATGCACACGAAAAACCAAGCAAGAGATCGAATAAAAAAGCAGAAAACCTACGTCGATTGCTGGGGCGAGAACGCCCATGTCCATCACATACAGTGACCAATAAAACAACCCGTTGCTGAAAAAAAAAGTTTAATATAGAAAATATTAATCACTTGAGGACTTACAATTACCCGTGAAATACGACAGTCCTTGTGTACACCACCTAGTGATTCACATAAAAGGGGAAGTGAATACTGCAATGAACTGCTTTCGAAAGATGACACCATCTGTTACTAGAGATAAATAAAAGGTGGTTCAACACTGCATCAGTTCAAAACTTCTTCAAAACACATTTAACCAGAATCTTGAATATACGAGAGCAAAACAATCACGGACATCACGCCTAACAATAAAAATGCATAAAAACTACCGGTAAATTACAACACAAAGTGAATGAGACGATTCAAAAAGGAATCACATAAAAAGACATAAACTATAGATAGAACACAAATTTGACAACAAAAAAGACTCTATATTCCCCTACCCTACCAAGTAGTCTGGCAAACTATTACATTACTTTATAATCCAGAAACTATATCACGCAAATATACCGCAATCACAGACAGAATAGATAAAATAGGCTTCAAATTCAACAAAACAAGGGATAAAACAGCAAAAGCTAAAAAATAAATAATAACAGAAAACAAAAATTAATCTAGCTCAATATCCATTTGACCATCAGGAAGTAACGGTACCTCACTTGAGGGAACCTGAAAGCAAACCACAGAGAACTGAGCGCATAAGGAGGTCTATTCCAAGTGTATAGAAAATTTAGAGAATGCGAAAGCGAGTGAAGGTGCTGCGAGCTCATTCAAGAGCCGTCAAATTAGGAATAAAGATAAAGAATTTTTCTTCTTTACCTGCAGCCAGAAAACGCTCTACTTCATGGTCAATAGCTACCGAAAGCTACCAAAATTTACAAAGACTTGCGCTAACGGCAGTCTGGTCACCAACTACGTGCTCCGATCATCTCAGATTGCCCTAGTAACGATATGCGAGGGGATCTAGTTGTATCAAAGAGGGATTTCCCTTGATTATCCAACGAGGCATTCAAACCTTCCGAAAATCCACTTAAATACATAAAAGCATGTTTGGTTTCATGATTCAAATTACTGCAATTTAAGTTGCTGGAAGAAAAACGAAAAGAAAGCCGTTGAATAAATTTTAAAAAAGATATTTTTTTGCGTTTTGACATATTTAGCTGAAATTTACTAAATGATACGCCACTATTTCTAGACGCAGAATAAAAACTCTGTATGAAAGTGGAAAGACAGCTGGATAAAAGCGGATACAAGAGCGACATACACAACAACTACGCGTACCTCTATCTCTCCTTCAATCCAGTCAGTATCAATTGGATACATTTCATGTGCTTCCTCAACCAGCTGAGGTGGCTCAAGACAATAACTTTGAGCCTAAAAGATAACACATGAACAAAACATTCTTATTCTAAGAGATCAAAGAGTGATGTATAATTGGCAGCATTAAGTCAAGATCAGCGTCCGAGCGGCAGATGTTGAACGGCGTGACGATATCAGTGGCAAAAAACCACGTGACGATGCATTATCACAATAAAACGCCGCCGAAAACAACATATGAGTGTACGTAAGACCAGGGGTCAGTCGAAAACTTTTGATTGACTTATAGAATATGAATAGCAAGACTTACCTCATGTGCTACGTTTCGTTGAGTGGACGACGATGCTGATGATGTCGGTCGCAATTTTATGGGCTCTTTCATGTAATCTGCATCAACTACTTCGGCTGTAAGAAGCGGAGGCGAATCAGATGTATCCACCATTTTAACTGGTACAACTGTAGTACCACCCATCATTATTGCAGAGCCTGATCTTCCTTTCAAGAATTGCACTCGACGAATCGGACCGTTAGTGCGATAGCCATAACCTGTACGAAAACAGTGAAGAACGTGCAGAGAGTTTTAAAATTGTCAACAACACACCATACTCGTCGTCGACGAGATATCGATTTAGTTCTTCATCAGGACATGAAAAGGGAATACGATCTGGTTGGCCAACATAGCTGGAAAATAAAAGCATGAGAAGAAAAAAAATAAACCTCATCAAACATATAGGTAACTAAAAAGCCTTAATATGTGGAAAGTAAACAAAATGGAGATAGATTATGAATCTATTGAATAGACATCATGGAATTTGAAAGCTCAAGTCATCAATTTCCACAAACACCCACGGAAATAAAAAAGTTGTGCACAAAATGTAAGTTTTCTTTTACCCTGAGAAAGTTGTACAAAAGCACCATCTGTCATTGATTTTCGAGAAGAAAATCAGCGACAGATGAAGCTTTTGTACAAGTTTCTCAGAGTAAAAGAAGAGTTCTGCGCTGGCAGAGGGGATTAGTAGCGTCAACTGTGTCTTTTAATCGATCTTGCACTACTCTCATGCGGACTTGGGATTCCAGCAATTTCTGAGATACAATTCAAAGAATACTGCAGTCATCAAAGTTATTGAAAATTTGAGAAACAAACTGACAAAAATAAAGAAAAAGACTCCCAAAGAAAAAACTCGTAGAAAAAACATTCAAAAATCTTATCTTAAAGTTAATACTTGTTTGCCTTCATTGAGACCAATGATTAAACTACTGCTGATTGTGAAAAACAAGATATCAAAGAATTTGAGAAATTCGACGTGAGAAATTCGTGGAGAAATGGGATCAAAGCAGAATAAACTTGAAAGGTGCAGGTACGCACTGATATCGCAAAGATAACGTCACAAATCCAGAAGGCCATTGGGCATATGAGGAATAGACTGTCACATTACTAGTTACTAGAAAACAAGATACAAGGATTGTTCGAAGATTTTTGGTGCTAATGAAGACGAGATTACAGAATAACAGACACAACTTATCACCCAGCCACAGAAATAATATACACCCTCGGAAAATTCGTGAAATTCCGCTACAATGTTTTGAACACTAGAGGAAGCAATTCGTAGATTGTGTAAAGGAATGGCGCGCTCAAATCTCGCTTACGTGCTCATTCGCTACCAGGGGACACCAAAGAACACACGTAAGCACTTCGCAGAGCTTAGCGGAATAACAAAAGTGCAAGACAACATCGGTTTGTGGCGACACGCGCACTCGTAAGAGAAGGGGGATATTTATACTTGCAAATTATTGAGATCATGTCAAGTGTATGATAGACGTAACGAATACCTTTTCAAAATTATACTCAAAAATATTGAAAAACGTAAAATGGCTAACTTTGCATTTGGGTTTAGAAAATAGCAGCGATTTTTTTATGTACCACGCTGTTTAAATTCTGAGCACGCAAATTCCACAGAAGGATCCGGCACCCTCCCACAGCTGCAAAAAGCACAGTAAGATGAAACAGAAGCAAAACTGATTGACAAGCAGCAACAGAGGTTTCAGACTGAATTCAAATCAGTCTAATGAATACTCCTGTTGTAAGAAGATGAATAAAGCGAAGATAAAATAAGCTGAAAAAAAAACTGAAACATCAAGAATAACAGACAGAGATCAAATAATACTATAGTCTTCCCCAACCGTACATTCTTCTGTAGTAACCTTTCATCCCACCACTATGTCCAAAATATGCAAGAAATGTACAGACTCTCTCAAGCTATTGTGTGTCATCCCTTTCCCCACTCATTCACACAAGAAAAACTTGAAGGGTAGCTGCACTTACGATTCGTAGTTGTTGTGTTTGGCTAAGTGCTCGCGAAAATGTCGAAAACACTTGGATTGGAAGGTGCACTGGGTGTATGGGCATCCAAATGTTGCTGACCGGCCGAAATGTCGGGACCTTAATAAAGAAGATGGTTGCGGGACAGAATAGATAATCTAAGCTTTGCTCGCGGAAGACTAGTGCGCAAAAATAAATGAGTGTAAAATGAAACCATAGTCTGAATTAACTTTCAAGCAATACTTGCAGAAAACAAAGTACTCTGCACTCTTCTTGCAATTTCAAGGCAATCGATTATGAGATAAAAGAAAAAAATAAATATGTTCTTCGAAAGTACCGCCAACTGTCACTGAAATAAAACGCCCTAACATCTACAATGAGACTCACTGCACATGTTGCTGATAACTGGCTGGTTCCATGTAAGCTTCATAGCAATATGGGCATTTATAACCCCAATCACGTCTTGCAGTGTGACTACGTAATTTATGCCTTCGAAGTGTCATCTGACTCGCTGAAAACAATGGATTCATATTCAAAAAAAAAAATCATATATAGCACAAAAATAACCCATAAAGATGATTCCATAGATTCATGTTCATATCAACAACTACACATGGAAAATACTGAAAGTCTTTGCAATAAGAACAAGTTTATGATAAGAAAAAGTAATAAAAACAAAAGTTCACCTGCAGCATAATCACAATGGTCGCAAGCAAATGGCCGTGCATCATTATGAATGTTCATATGCTCGTCATATGAACGTTTCGAAGACAAACTTTTGCTGCATATACTGAATGAGCGCATTTGAACATAAATTATAGCTAAGGCCCTGGCCAGACTTCGCTCAAAAGCGCCCAAAAGCGCCCAAACTTCTCTAACCTCTCCTCACTCTCTCTCATCTCTCCTCACACGAGAAAGTGAAGAGACACCAGAGAAATTTGGGCGCTTTTGGGCGCTTTTGGGCGCTTTTGAGCGCTTTTGGGCGCTTTTGAGCGCTTTTGGGCGCTTTTGGGCGCTTTTGAGCGAAGTCTGGCCAGGGCCTAAATGATGCAAGAACAAAATGGACACGAAACTGTTTCAAAGTAGAGTTCTGATCCGCAGATTACGGAAGATAATGAAAGCTGTAGTCAGCAGGATATCTGAACGGAGACCAATTTTGAAAAAAAACTCACGCGCAATGCCACCGACTACGCTGCGCCGATGGAACCAAACTAATCACTTGAGTTTGACTGCCGGTCGTCGTTTTTGCCTTTCCATTCTTGTGCACAGATGGTCCGGGTAGTAAGTGATGCGCCTAAACAGCATGTTTGACATAGGAAATATCTATTCAGCTCATTTCAATGCTATACCCGTAGAAAGGGTGGGACATTAGTTGTTGGAAAGGTCATGGGTAATGGTATTGAAGGAGTCTTAAGTTTGGTTTCAAATGGTTGGAAGCATACATTTTGCATTTGGAATGGGTTCCTCCAAGCTGCAATCATAAACCCTACAGTCCCAACAAGATTCCGAAATTTGGATGTTCTTCACTTGGCGGCGATAACCGCGCACATCCGCGGCGAGGAAAACAGCAGACATCTACCCGTTATTTAGTTCCTATCCTTTGTGTTAACATGAAGAACTCATGCAAGGAATATAGAAGAGAACTCAAAGCCTCGGGCTGCTTCACGCAACTTCAGTCGCTACGCGGTTAGCAAAACAACTGTTTTCGAGTCACCGTAAGCGCATTCTGAATGTAAAAAAGACAGAACATTTCATTGATCTACGTTATAGATACACACTCTGCATTCGCAATCTGCTGTTTTGGGCGAATGACAAATTGACAGAGCGCTTGACGACTGAAATCGCGCGAAGTATGCTTGGAAGTCGCGGTTAGTGCGATGAGTCTCCAAAAGCCTTGCGCGGGCATATGGACAACTACAGACGCAAGATAGTGCAACTTAGATAAACAAAACTCAGTTTTACTAAATTTTAAGGGTCCAAAACCGCTAACATTCTAATTCTGAGTATTTCTGCGCGTAAGAAAGCAGTTATACATCATTCAAAAATCAACATTGCAAATAAGCTGTCAGGTATACACGAAGCACGAAGCATAAAAGTCTTCTTAGCCTCTAAAACTAAACCCTGTATATGAAAGCAAATGGGAGTTCGCGGCGAACACCTTCTCTCCAAAGTATTAGTAAAAGCACAATCAAAGGTTTGGACTGCCATTAATCGGGCCTAGTAACACAACCAGCATCAACGCATCATATTTGCCACGAATGTTGCTGGAGAAAGACAGAACAGAAGGACGGAATTTATCCAACAAGGAAGGTCCGATTAGTCGAAGTGGCCTTTTCAAACAAGTCTTATACCACTTTGAGTAGCATTAAACGATGATTCCAAACCTGACTTCATCATCTGCCGAGCGCCTTTGCATGCCGAGTTATGAATATTCTCTTAATGCGAAAAATGAACGCAAGATCAGGGTAAAATCAAATTTTACGGTCTTCTCAGCGCTCAAATAGAGCAGTATTAAGTGCGAGTGTTTTAGACAGAAGGTATAATTTAAGTGGAGTGCCCTGATAATTGAGATTGGGCCATTTGAGCAATTCTTACAAATTTTGTGCCAATTATGCATTCAATTTTTCAACTCAAAAACGCTCATAACTTGACGTCTAGAGGCGCTCGGTAGATAGCAAAGACAGAGTTGGAATCGTTCGAGGCTCTTTATAGTAGTATCAATCTCATGTGAAAAAACCATTTCGACCAACGGACCTCCCTTGTAAGAAAAAATAAGAAAAAATGAAAAGGATGGTATATTGGTCATAGCACGGACCATGGTTGCTGGTCAAGGTTTCTAAAACTGGGGATTACATAAAATGAATGGTGGTTTGAAGAAACAAAAAAAACTATGAGGCATTCCAAAAAATTAAAACGTTACTACTAGATTAAAGGAAAAGAAGATTTTCAGACGGAACAAAGCACAAGCCACTAGTATAACAAATGAAAACAAAATATCTTTAGAGAGCCAAACAGCCAAGATGTTTACCAGGTCAAAACATGCGAAATGGTTGTTATCAAAGGAAAGATAAGACTCACCACATCATTCTTTAACCTTGCCACTGGTAATGAAAGCTTCCCATGACGATTCACAAACATTACTTTCATCCCTACCTAAAACCGGACAGCCTGGAAAAGACTTGCATGGTAGCGTACGACTTAATAGAAATGGAACAAAAATGCCGAAAAACATTTGGATTTTGTACATATCTGAACTTTGCAAATTTGTCAGAGTATTCGCAGAAACTATAAGTGGTATTTTCAACATAAAATAAAAAAGACAGCTTTCAGCAAAGTTTCTTTGTATAAAAGTTGTAAACCAAAACAACTGACGGCATTCTGTGAACTTCACTCCGTGCGAAGCGTCACGTCGCTTCTCGCGTACGATTTAGGATTGGAGCACGATCTAAACTACTTTTCCTGGAAAATGTGCAAGTTGAAAATTCCACGCAATGACGTATATAAGTTGGTAAATTATACCATGTAGGTACTTATCTATATCGGTTGGAAGCAGGTACTCATTCCACGCATTTTTGTTATCATCTGATGAAGAATGGACTCATTTCCAAAAATCGTCCACGATAATGACACTGCTATTTTCGTCTTGAATCTTTATTGTGAGCTCCAAACTTCCAATCAATACAGAACTTCTGCTTTACTTTTATCTCTAAATGTCAAGTTCGGTCTTATCGTCTGGAGGTAAAGGCCTCAGTGAGGGTTCTACGAAAATCTCTCCCGAAAGTGATGACTGCCTGTGTAAAATTAGGGACAAGAAGAAAATGTAAACCAGTTGGGAAAAGCAGAAGAAAGTGTTGTAAACCAAGTAAAAACTCTGCAGAGTTAGAATTCATTCATTTGGCAGCATTTCGAATAGCAGGTTTTCGCGTGAGGGCCCGCCAGTCCACGAAGAGGAAACGGATTGGAATTAGCTATCGCCAGGAAACAAACAGGAAAACGTTGAAGACGAAATTTTTTGTTACCCAAAGTAAAATGCACTTACAGCCAAACCAATTTTTGATGAGTCCTCATATTGTCGCGGATTCGCGACTTCCTTTGAAGGAGGCCGCCGCGCTGCAAGGGGCTTTAAAACGCCGTCCTCGCGCTGCCCTGCCTCTCAGGTCTCTACCTGCGCAGCTTTCAAATTAGTCACGTAATCACGTAATCAGTCTTTACTGCTGTCGCCATCGTGAGCGGTCGGGTTCCAATTTCGTCTCAAGCCATCGATCGATACAGCGCCTTCCCCATCTCACGCGTCAACTACGTCTACGCCACAGAGGACTGGCTTCGTGCTGACGAGGTAACCCCGAGCGCGCTCGCACCTGGCACACGCCGGCGACACCGCCTCGGGGGTTTCCGATGTTGCTGGCCCCTAGGTTTAACATCTGGCTGGTTGTGCTCAACCCGTGTGTTTGAGTATAAGGAATTGTTGCGGATAAATGGTGGGCATTTAACACGTGTGTTTTGTATCGATGCGGTGAGCCATAGCTCGGCTGTAGCTCCGGGGATATCTTGTGTCATCATGTTTATGTGTATCTTATAATCACGCCTAGTGTGATAGAACGGTCAGAAGGCTGGCACGATCCGCGGCAGTGCCTTGGTTATAAGTACAAGCCCCAACTGTTGATGGTTGGGAGTAGGTGTCGAGTCGCAGGTGTCAAGTAAACCGCTAAGTAGGCTGGTCAAGGGCCCCTATGTGTGTATGGCATGTTTATGTGGCTGGAGGAATTCGCATTTTCACAGGTAACACCACCACTCGTTACTCTGTTTTACATTGCACCTTACGCCGGAGTGGACTCCTGGCTCCTACCGCCGATGCAGGAAAGCCCCAATACCACTGACTTTGGGAGCTGGGGGCCCAATCCGCGACATGGTGCAACGTGGAGCTGAGCATAGGGATAACAAACTTATGTTCAGCTTTTGTGATGGAGCCCCGTCTGTGTTAGCCCAAATGCATACGCGTTGCACATTAGTGTCCCTAGCTAGCAGTGCAAATCTTACCCTTTCATTTCACATGTTTGCGCAGTGTATACATGCTTGGTTGTATCTTGTGGCTCCTTAGAGGACTCATCTTTCGTTTGTCAGCCAGCTCCGAAGCGACTAGGCTGACGCGAGTACGCGACTACACAGTTCCATTTAGATTGGGAGCAGACCTGACGTGGCAGCAGCCATCTGCGCCCTGCCTGCTGCCCGAAACTGTCTGTGCCTTCTGACGGCCAGTTTTTTCTGCAGCGATCGAGAACCTTGGTAGAAAGCTTGTCTGCGCTGAAACACGATCAGGCTGACGAATGAGCCCTGTGTGTTGCGTTAGATGCGACAGCTGGATGAGCCGATGGAGGAAGGAGAGCGGGAACAGTGGAGGCAAAAGTCACCGCCCAAGAACATCCGTTGCTACTTCTGCAAGCAGCCCCATTATTCGTCCAGCTGTCCTGATTTCACCTTTTTAAGGGACAGGATTGAGGAGGCTGGGAGAGGCGGAAGCTTCTTGTGTTGTAGCATTTACGCGGAGGGTTACCCCCTTTATGGAAAGAAGTGCAGGTCGTGCCACTCCAAGGATCACGACACTTCCTTTTGCTTTGATCGGCACCACTGTAGTAACGATCTCCCAGTTGGCGAGTATCGGGCAATCCTTGAGCAGTACAAGGCATTGGCCGATATCCGCAGGCGGAAGAAGGCTAGGAGAGAAGAGAGGTAGAGATACCTCGTCGCGCAGTCGTCACCCCCAATTTAGTCTCCCCAACTACCGACCCTCTTGAAGAAGCTTTACGCTCACCCCCAACACTAGTTTCCTTATTAATGCTGTTTGTTTAGGCTGATCCTCTTGCAAAGCTGTTCTGCAACTGGCGTTGGCTATCAGTCGCTCGAGATGGGTTGCATTCGGATCCTGCCTCAAAAATCTTCTTTCGAGCAATTCCTTGGTGGTCTTCGAAATGCTTTCCAAGTTCTTCTCAGAAGTCACTGAGGCGCATTCTCCGCAGGCTCGCAATCCTTTCAGAAGCCGGTCGTAGTCGTGCGTTGGGTCCTCCTCGATGGTTCAGTCACAACTTGATATGAGCTCTTCCAGCCTGTTACCGTCATAAACGACTTCCTTCCTTCTCGCGGCACTATGACAGACTTTCTTTTCCAGCCTTCGGCTGAGTCGTATCTTCGCTCGAAGGAGGCGGTGATCGGAGCCACTACAGAAGGATGGAACTACAGAGACATCGAGTAAGCTCCACCTTCGGTTGGTGAGAATGTGGTCGATCTCAGCATGAGTCGTTCCGTTGGGCGATTCCCAAGTCCACCGGCGATGTTCTTTCTTCATGAAGATGAAGTTTCCATGGAAGAGTCGTGCGGCGGAGAGAAGCCCAACGAGACGGTTGCCGTTTTCGTTTCGGAGCCCATATCCAAACTTTCCGATCCTATATTCCTTTTCTAGTGAAATCCCGATTTTTGCGTTGAAGTCGCCCACAACATGCTTTAGAAAGACTTTTCGTCGCGGATGACCTCCTCCACGTCTTCGTAGAAAGCATCTAGTTCTGAGTCGTCAGCTGCTGATGTTGGCGAGTAGCAGTTGATGATGCTGATGGTCTTTTGACGTGGAGGGCGTAGCCGTAGGATGCCTAGTCGAGATGATAGGATCTCGTGCGAATCGACAAGATGGACGATAGATGGGTGGACGACAAAGCCGACGTCTCCCACGTTTCGTGACGGAACCTTTTCACCACGAATGATGAGGGTCCCATCACTCATCTGTCGCACGTCCTTCTTCCTGGACTTCGCTTCCTGCAGAGCGATGATGTGATAGTTGATGTGCTCTGCAGCGTCGAGAAGAGCGTGGAGGTCGGCGTTTGTGGAGACTGTCCTGGCGTTGTAGGTGCAGAGCATGAGGCAGTCTCCATGGCGTGTCGTCTGGGCAGACGTGTCGTTTTTGTCCAATCCGAAAGGCGCCCTGAGTACCCTGACTTCGTTCTTGCTACCACCCGGCGCCGTAGGCGGAATATGATGTGCAGGGTTTTCTAATCTTCTAACTGGAGGAGTAATATGAATTTTCCCCTACAAGAGGTGGCTTACTAGGCCTACTCTTGATTTCCACGGGACGATCGCTGACCCCGGGCTTGGAGCGGGGAGGGACCGCCTAGCGACCAGAAGAAGCCAGACGGCGGGAGATCTGGCGTGGCCGCTTCTTAGCTAGGCATCCGGCCGAAACCGGATGCCTAGCTAAGAACCGGCTGCCTAGCTAAGTCGAACTCCTTCACAGCTTGGGAGGCCCTACCAGAGTATACACTCGGCTGTGCATCGCAATTCGACACCCAGTGTCACCCCCACGCCACGATGAGGCGACCGACCATTGTGGGGGGGGGGTGACACTGGGTGTCGAACTGCGATGCACAGCTTTGCAGGAGGATCTCAGGAAGTACAGGCAAGCCAAGATACTGGAAGCAGCCGAAAGAAGACGAAGTCTCAAGAAGTGCCGAAGGGACCTCTGCGAATATCACGTACCGCTGGCTGCACTACTGAAGGAAGACGGGACTCCGACCTCTTCCCGATACAGGATGGAATTTATCGCGAAGAACATTTACCCAACCTCTTCCGCACATCAACGCCCGTGCAGATGCCCGTTGTTCCAACTGGAGAAGTACCACCACGAATTCTACCTGCTGAAGTGCGTATCGCGATACAGACCATGAAGATGTCCACGGCTTCAGGACCAGATCATCTTTCCGTCGAACTTCTGCGAGCCGGAGGGCACCGTCTACAAGATATTCTAGCGTCGCATTTGACATCTTACCTTCAGAAGGAGAAGATTCCCGACCAGTGGAGAACGTCAAGAACCGTCCTTCTCTTCAAGAAGGGTGAACGGGAGGATCTTCGGAACTATCGTCCAATATGCCTGCTGAGTGTTCTGTACAAGCTTTTCACGAAGATTATCCTCGCTCGCATATCAAGGACACTGGACGAAGCCCAACCCCAAGAACAAGCTGGATTTCGCAAAGGATTCAGCTGCAAGGACCACATCCAGACGGTTTCGAGGGTCATAGAAGTCTGCCGGGAGTACCGATTGCCTCTCGTCCTAACCTTTGTCGACTACGAGAAAGCCTTCGACAGCGTCGAAACCAACGCCATCCTGTCAGCGCTAGTCGATCAAGGAGTGGATCCAGCCTACGTGAGGACACTAGCCAACTGCTACAAGGACTGTACAACAACGATGCAGCTGTTCCATCGCCCCCTGACCATACCAATCGGGAAGGGGGTCTGACAAGGCGACACAATCTCGCCGAAGCTGTTCACCGCGGCCTTGCAGTGGGTGATGAAGTCACTGTATTGGGACGAGAGAGGCATACGAGTTGATGGGAGATTCCTGTCCAACCTTCGTTTTGCGGACGACATCGTTCTC